GGGAGGGGAGGGGAGGGGGAATAATATTGGTGAACCCACCAAGGCCTGTCATCAAGTGCCTGCAGCGAACAAGGGCAGCACCATTCAGCAGCATTGTGCTCGTGGCAGGATCGTGATGACCAGCGAGAGCAGCACAATTTATGTTGGCTGGTTTTCTGCTCAAGGACTGGTGGAGAGCACCTTACAGGAGCCCTGAGGAAGAGTTTTAGGAGTACCCCATCTGGGTGCAAAAATCCTACATCCCCAAGTGCTTGGGAGCGCCAAGGGGGCAGCCGGTCAGATAGGGGAGGACCCAGGGCGGTTGCAGAAGTTCTAGAGTCCTGGGGAAGGAGAAAGCGTGAGGAAGAGACGCAGGGTAACTCTGCCTCAATTGCACTAGGTGTATGTTTTGTGTCGCTTTGACAAGCTTCCAAGAGTCTGTTCTATCACCTACCAGCAATACCTGCTTTTCTAGCAATCCAAGCCGTTCTCGCTTCCTCGGCTTGCCAGCTTCCAGGGCTTGACTGCTATGGATTTTTGCAGGCCAGGTAGGCTGGCCTGATTTAGCCAACAGCTTATGGCAGCAAGGATGGGGCAAGGGATGGCATGTTAAAATGGGACTCTGTCTTGCTCTGTTTAATTTGGGCTGTTCCATGGGAATACACTCTTCTTTTCGTGGACAAAGGGAGAAAAATCAATAACAGGGTCATAAGCTGACCCGGTAGTCGCAGTGCAGAGCATTGTCTGCGTGAAAGAGGCCTGAACATGTCCTGTCTATTCACTAATGAAAAGTTTGCTCTGGAAAGTAGAGGAGGAAGTTATCCCTAAGCACAGACACAGAACGGAATCTGCTGGATGGCTCCCTAAGTGCATTGCAGAGTCAACGTAGCACATGGGGATGAGCGTATCTGCTCCACAAATGTAGATCCACGAATGTAGATCCACCCGTTCTGAGGTGGAGAACAGTATCAACCTCCAGTTTGAAGGTGCCACTTAGTGATAGTGGCAAAACCCAGGCTTGGTGGAACAAAGCTGATGCAAAACCTGGGTGTGGTTTGGGGATGCTCCAGAATCTCTACAGGAGACCAGTCAGTTGCCCACCTGTGATGGCGGTGGTCAGTGTTGTCCAAACTTGGCCACTTTAAGATGAGTGGACTTCAACTCCCAGAATTCCCCAGCCAGCCATGAA